TATTGATTATTTTCCTTTGTGTTTGGTTAGGAGCTTTTCGAAATGGTATTGAACAATCAGTCCCAGGGAGGCGCAATAAACAGGGTAAAATTAATGACAAGGCGTGGCTTTTAGCTTGGATTCGAAAGTAGCTGAATCCTGGCCAGTCCTTAGCATTTTTGGTTACATTTAATCCATCCATCCAGGGCTATTTTTGGGCAGGAACGCACAGGAACGGAGTTCCGGCTGGCTTCAGAGTTGGCCACGCCCACTACAGCCAAAACTTCTGCATGCCTGGCTACAGAGGGAAGGCCTGGAGAGTGACCCCCCCCCAGTGACTCCAAGGTAGGCGGGCCAGGGGGCCCCCTAGAAGGATCAGGGAGGCATTTAAATGCCTCCCTGTGCCTTCCCCAGCCTGTTCAAGGGGGGGCTCCCCCAGGCTCCCCAACGGAAGGCATGGGGTGTGTGGTCTAATATGCTAATGAGTTCCTGCTGGGCTTTTTCTACAAAAAAAGCCCTGCATCCATCCATGGAGAAAGCTGTTCTGAATAATACTGGAAAAAAATCAAAATATTTCAGCTGTGTCTGGATTCAGTATTGAATCAAGGCCTAGTTTACTTGGGGACAGGCAAGTAACTGTAATGGTTTCACTTTGGCTATTGGCTCAAAGTAGACAAATTTCAGGATGTGGTCTACTTTCCCCCTTTTCTCAACACTAAACATGCACTACACAGCGGTCCATGAAAAGCTTCTTTCTTTATTTGGCAAGTATCATTTTTTGCTACATCCCATCCACCCCCTCCCCTTTTAGACAGAGCAGATAGGTAGACTAGGACTGGAGAGACCCAGATTCAAATTCTGACTTGCCACAACACTGGGTTACTTTGGGCTGGCCAATCTCTCTGCCTTGCGTACCTCACAAGGTCCCTAGGAGCAATGACACGGAACAGAAATTTTTCCCAGCACTATTTTATTTATTTATTTATTGGATTTCTATCCCACCCTGCTGCCAGAGCGGCTCAGGGCAGCTTACACACAACTTTAAAAACCAGCATAAATATATACATAAAATACAATTCAATAAAATTCCAAATAAATACAGTTAAGACCATTTAAATGTGGCGGTAAAGGTTCCCTTGCTCGAAAGCCAGTCAAGTCCGACTCTAGGGTTGCAGTGCTCATCTCCGTTTCCAAGCCAAAGAGCCAGCGCTGTCCGAAGACGTTTCCGTGGTCACGTGGCCGGCATGACTAAACACCAAGGCGCACGGAACGCTGTTACCTTCCCACTGAAGTGGTACCTATTTATCAATTTCTTGCTTTCAAACTGCTAGGTTGGCAGGAGCTGGAACTAGAGACAGGAGCTCACTCCATCATGCGGCACCCGGGTCTTGAACTGCTGAACTACTGACCCTCCACAGCCTGCAGTTCAGCGTCTTAACCACTTGAGCCACTGCAGCGGTATCATGTAATAAAGTGCAAGTGCAGCACAGCCGATGAAATCATTCTTACTGAAACGCCCAGCAAAAAAGCTCCGTTTTCACGGCCCTGCGGAAAACATTCTGATTTTAAATGTTCACTGAAGACCCGTACTGCTGTTTTGGAGGATACAATGGAGGAGGGGAAGGACCATGAATGCTGTCGTGAATTCCTTGGGAAAAGGGCAGAAGAAAAATGCACTAAAATAAATGAGTTCTGATTTTAAAAATCGAGAGGGTTGTCCCAGGCTGTGCCTCAGGGTCTTTGTTTGCCTACATTATCCTATTGTTTTTAGTCCTCAAAGCCTAGTTGGGACTTTTCAATTGATTTTTACAGGTACAAAAGGGGTTGTTATATAGAAGGAGGAGGAGGAGGAGGAGGAGGAGATTGGATTTATACCCCACCCTTCACTACCCAAAGGAGTCTCAGAGCGGCTTACAAACTCCTTTCCCTTCCCCTCCCCACAACAGACACCCTGTGAGGTAGGTGGGGCTGAGAAAGCTCTGACAGAAACTGCTCTTTTTCAAGAACAGCTCTGACAGAACTATGGCTTGCCCAAGATCATCCAGTAGCTGCAAGTGGAGGAGTGGGGAATCAAACCCGGTTTCCCCAGATTAGAGTCCGCGCTCTTAACCACTACACCAAATTGGAGAATATCCCCTGGGGGGAGAAGGTGCTCATCAGTGGACAGTTTTGTGCATCTTCTGTGACAGGGACAGTCAGTTATGCAACAATCCCTACCTTTTTCACAACTGCCGGCCCCTGCAACACTCTACTGTTCTGCTTTGGATGTCGACGTTTTTGCTTCTTGTTTTGCCTCCGTTAACATGCCTCCATTCATCTTTCTTTCTCCATTAGTTCTGTTTTGTTATTCCATTCCATTTGTTTGGGCATGCACAGTTTTCTCATTTGCTTGCCTTTTTAGGATTTCTAAGCATAAGGCACTTAAATTCCCTTAACAATCCTCAGTGTCTTCTATAGACTTCTTCTACTGTTATTTGTCCTTTCTGTATCTTTTAGCGATGTCTTACCTGCCCCCTTCCAACTCGCCCGCCGTTTTTTCTTTGTCCGCACAGAATTTTATCCTTCTTTTCTTTGGACTCTCATGAATGCCGCCTGTCTTCAGTCATATTTATAGCTAACTTTGTGCATTTCTGCCTTGAGGAAAGGTTGCTTATAAACGTAGCTGACCTCTTTTTTTTTTTTTTTAAACCTCTTACTTTTTAAAGTCGGTGTACAATCTTTCCTTCTGTCTTTTTAATTTTTTTAAATAATGTTTTATAAAGACAATAAAACTGTATAGTAACAAGCAGTGTTCCCTCTAAGCTGAGTTA